CAGCTACAATGCTCCAGCCATTGCAACTATAATCTTCTGGCTATCCTAGCTATAATGCCCCAGTTATTTAAGCCACAGTAGTTATTGCAGCTGTAATGCTCCGTTTGTCTTAGCTGCAATGATCTGGTCATTACAGTCACAATACTCTGGTTATTTCAGTAGCAATAGGCCGGTCAAATCAATGGAAGTGCTGCAGCTTTTATGGAAGCATTACACTAGTTATGCCAGTAAAAGCAGGGTGGTTATCTTGGCAGCAATGGTCCAGATATACCAGCAACAACAGTTTAGTTGTTTCATGAGGCCGGTTATTTCAGCAATGGCATAAAACAGTCTACTAATTCATGGATAAACTTCCAGCTATTCTAGAAGCAGACTCTACACTATTATATTGTACTACATGCAGATTTGTAGCATATCAGGCCCATTTTTATTTATTAGTCTATGAGAGGGTCGCGGGAAGTCAACGCACGTGACTAGCGACACGACTTTTCTGGCCAGAGCGGGCAGGGAGAAGGTGGTGTTGTCTCTTGAACTTCAACTGCCACCTTCTCTCTCGCTCGCTCGCTGCCCTCAACACAGCTCGCTCAACTCGACTGCTCTTTGTTTCATCCTCTCTCTCTGCCTCTGCCTCTGTCTATGGCTCCTCGGGTTCCCTCCTCATCCTCCAGGGCTAGCTCTCGCTGGTCGACCACACCCACAACGGCGGACGGTCCTCTAGCGCGCTCGGAGACATCCAGCCCTGCTCTCTCCCTTGAAGATGGTGCTATGTCTAACAACCTCATCCTGTCAGCGGCTGACAACACCACACCGATTCCCTCGCTGGCTGAGGCTTTCCTCCCTGCCTCTGAGGCGGGGGAGCAGTCTGCCTCTCAGGATCCGGGTGGGGAGACCCCCCCTCCTAGCTTTGGGGGTCTTGATCACCCGGGGTCGCATTCCTTGCGTCGCCGGATGCCTTCTGACTCCGAGCATTCCGCACCTCCTTCAAAGTGCTCCAAGGGTAAAGAGAAGGCTCCGGCTCCACCTTCTTTGCCTCTCAGCGGTGTTCCCGGGGCCTCTGTGCCGCGGGCTTGCGTCCACTTCGCCCACCAACTGGGCCGCTCTGACGCTCCGATGTCTTCAATCTCCGGCACACGCGTTATTCCCAAAGGCGCTCCTCCCTCTCCGCAGGAGGGCGCCTCTTCCCGCCTCCCTCACTCGCGTGAGCAGTCACCATCCTCGGCGCCTGTTGCCCTGGAATCCTTCTGGGATTCCATCTCAGATGCAGCCCACCAGCAGCTGGTGTCAATAGTGTCCGACCAGGCTTGTCGCACCTCCATGCTCACCAATGCGCAATATCCTGCTCTCCATGGGTTCACATTCCATTTGTGTTCTTGCCCGTTCCCTCCTGTCCTTCCCCCTCCACTTTTGTCCATTCCTATCCTTCCCTTCCCATTCCTTTCCCCGTTGTCCATTCCCTTCAACCATTCCATTGCCTTTCCTGCTCCCGTCCTGTTCCGCTTGTTTACGCAGTTTTCCTGCAGCACTCCTGCTTCCCCGCAGATTTTGGGCTCCCATGCCAAGGGCGTCTACGCCTCCTCCGGAGGATCCTGCCCCGTCATCATCCTCCCATGCGGTGCGCCCACTGCCCACACCTGGGGCACTCCTCAGTGGTTTCAACCTGCCTGACCATCCCCAGGTCATCTTGGCCATCAAGCAGGGTTGGACCAAACATATCCCGCTTACGCTCCTCACCAACGACGCGCTCCGTGGTCTGAAGTGGTCAAAATCTTCTTCTGAGAGCACGGCCTCGGTCTCCACGTCCGGCGTCCTCACCATCCTCCCGTCTACTTGGGGCGGGGAAGGCGAGCAAGCCATGACTGTGCAGGAGTGGATGTTGGCTTTCCCTCACCTCATCCGCCCTGTGCATCTCCACCTTCCTGGCACCGACACGTTCCGTAACCGCTGGGGCAACATCTGGCAGTCGCACTACAACAGCATCCACCTCCACTCTGATATCTACAAAAGGGGGAGGTGGCCGCTGTTCCTGGCATACAACATCGAATGCCGCCGGATCCACGCGGCTGGCGTTGAGGACTTTGACCCTTCTGTCTGGCAGGAGAAGGCCTGGTCTCACATCTGTCTGGACTTCCAGCTCGACCACTCGGTCGCATCCGCCACTCCCACTGCTGCACCCTCCTTGTTTCACGCCTCGTTTGCCCATACCTCGCGCTCCCCCGCAGTTGCTTCCACTTCTGCCACCTTGTCCGCAGTTGCCGGCTCTGGCTTGCAGAAGTGTATCTTCTGCCTCGCCGTTGGTTGTCGCAACCGTGCCTGTGGTGTCACTGACACGGGCTACATCGCCTTGCACACCGGCAAGTGGGTGACTACTGCCAACGATCTCGTTTGTTTCGCTTACAACGGCACCGCGGGGTGCTCCCGCCAACCCTGCCGTTTCCTCCATTGCTGCACCAAGTGCAGAGCGGCTCACGCGGCTCAAGCCTGCACTTGAGTCCGGCATCCTCAAAGTCGTCACACCCTTTCTCTGGGAGAAATGGGCGGTCGCACTGGACAATGCTGGCGTCTTCCACGAGTTTGCTGACGTTCCCTTTGGTATCCGCGATGGCTGGCATCTTGGTGTCTCCTTCCCTCTTACTTCTTCCTTCACTCTCCCTAATCATCGCTCTGCTCTCGATCATTCCACTTTCATTCTCGACTATGTTCAGTCCGAGCTTCGCAAAGGTTGCTACTCTGGTCCTTACACGTTCGACCAGTTAGAGGCTCTCGTGGGCCCGTTCCGCACCGGTCCACTCGGTGTCATCCCCAAGCCCGGTACTTCCAAGTTTTGCCTCATTCAAGACCATTCCTTTCCTCGCAACAACCCCGATTTTCTCTCCATTAACGCGGGCATCAACAGTTCTTCTTTCAAGTGCGATTGGGGTACCTTTGCTGACTGCTATTTGCTGGTCGCTAACGCACCTCCCGGCTTGCAGGTCTCCGTCAACAATGTTGAGGCCGCGCATTGTCGCTCGCCCATTGCGCCCGAAGACCAACCTTATGTCTGTGTCCGGGTGGACGCCAACGGCACCACCCGTTTCTACATTGACCATACGGGGTGCTTCGGGTGCACGAGTTCAATGGGTCTCTTCAACTGACCTGGTGACGGCATTGTCTGCATCTACCGTGCGCGGGGCATTGACAACATTCTCAAATGGTCTGATGACTACACCTTCTGGTGTTACCCCGTTGTTTTCTCCACTTCCGGCCCTTGGCACTATTCTTATGATGAGTCGCTTATCTTTTCTGTTGCCCTTGAGCTTGGCTGGCCCTGGGCGCCTCTCAAACATCGCCCTTTCTCCTTCCTTTTTGTCTATCTCGGTTTTGAATGGGACCTCCCCTGCAGAACTGTCTGCATTCCGGAGGCCAAAAAACTGAAGTATCTTGCTTGTATCGCGACCTGGCTCCCCGGCTCGTCGACTGTCCTTCGCGACTGCGAGAAATTTATCGGCTGCTTGCAGCATTGTACGCTCGCGCTCCCAGACGGGCACTCATGGCTCCCCTCGCTTTACCGTTTCCGCTCCAGCTTCCATGATGACTGCTACACTCGCCATTTCTTTCCTCCTTCCCTTCTCTCTGACATTTCCTGGTGGCGCGAGCAGCTTTCTGCCGCTTTCTGTGGCTCCTCAGTGGTTGCTCCGCCTGCTCCCCTAGCCCACAGTCTATTTGTCAACACCTCCACCTCCTTCGGGATCGGTTTTGTTCTCGACAAACAATGGCTCGCATGGTCATTACGCAACGGCTGGCATGCCGACGACCGAGATATCGGCTGGGCCGAGATGGTGGCGATCGACCTCGGCCTCCGTGCTCTCATTGCGGCCAGCTTTTGTAATTGCCATGTTGTATTCTGGTCTGACAACCAAGGTGTGGTCGGTGCCCTGCGTGTGGGCCGTTCTCGCAACTCCTCGCAGAATGCCGTCCTCTGCCATATTGTCTCTAATATTTGCGACTACGGGGTCTGGATTTCGGTTGTGTGGGTTCCATCCGCAGACAACATTGCTGATGGGGTCTCGTGCGGTGTCTTTCCAGTGTCCAAAAAACGGTTCGGCTTCGCGCCTGCACTTCCTTCTTATCTCAAGCCCTTTGTATTGCTTGCGTCCTGATTAGCTACTGGAATGCATCCTTGCCGCTTTATATATCCCTCGTGTGATCTTACCGCTACCATGGCCCTTCCTAACCTCTCCTCTCTAGTGTCTTCCCGCGTCCAGCTAGCCCTGGACAAGGCCTGGGCGGTTTCCACACGCGAAAAATATACCTCCGCAATCTCCGTGTTTCTGGCATTCTGCAGTACCGAACTCGTCCCCGAACCCGCTCGCTTGCCCGCCTCTGAATACTTACTGTGCGCGTTCGCTGCTTCCCGCATTGGCAACATCGCCGGCACCACTGTGCAGGGATACATTGCGGCTCTCAAGGCTTGGCATGTCTACAACAATGCCCCCTGGTTAGGCGGGCCGCGCCTCAATCTCGTACTCAACGGCGTCGAGAATATGACCCCCACATCCTCGCGCCGACCTCCCCGACCTCCGGTCACCCGCGACATGCTACTTTTGCTGGCAGCCCGGCTCTCTAGCTCGAGCTTTGTTGACGTCGCGGTTCTGGCGGCTGCGACCACCGTGTTCTACGGCCAGTGTTGGCTAGGCGAGATCTTATCTAACTGGGAGGACTCTTTCCATGTCGGCCACACCGCCCTGCTGTCACACCTCTCTGCCCCACTTAACTCTAACCATTCTCGCAAGCTATTCCTGCCCTTCACTAAGGTTTCAAAATCATGCGGCGAGTTCATCTATATCTGTCAGCAGGTCAACGCGGTCTGACCCTATCATTTCCCTCGAGTGCCATCTCCTCCTCAATAGCCCACCGGAATCTGTGCCACTATTCTCTTACAAGGTGGGATCTTCGGGTCGCTTCAAATGCCTCACGAAACAGCGCTTCCTGGCGCGCTGCAACGCAGTCTGGTTGTCCAGCGGCCTCACATTGTCCTCTGGCCACGCTTTCCGTATCGGAGGGACCACCAAGCTCTTATTGGCAGGCGTCCCTCCTGACATCGTTAAAACTATGGGACACTGGTCATCTGATGCATTCCTGTGCTACTGGAGGTCCTTAGAGATCCTCGCCCCGCTACATGCAGAGCTCTTGCCTCCGCAGGCCTCTGCCCGCCGTTCTGCTCCCACTTCCACCTCCTCCTCAATTTCCACTTCCCTCCATTCGTGGTACATTTTTAATTGGGCAGGCTCGCCTTCCGGGGTTCTGGGGGGGTCACGAGCCAGGCGTCCGCGGCGTTGCCTGCCTGCGGCTTTGAACTGGACTTTGTCTCCGGCTCAGCGCACCCCCAGACGGATGGCAGCTCAGGTGGGTTCTGCCTCGGTTCGGCGTGCTCGACACCACCTCAACTCCACTTAGTCTTGGTCCGGTGCCTGACATGCTGGCATTGGCGGAACTCACTCGGGCGTCACCCAGCCTCACCCATCACACAATTTCGGTGTTTTTGCGTAGTAGCACTCTCATTCATGTAATACAAATTACATGCATTCATTCCGTTCACACTAATGCTCGACGGCCTTGAAATCCAGTTTGTGCAAGTGTACCACCCTACAAGCACATCTGTGGCATATCTGGACAGTCTGGTCTGGGTCTATGGGATACTCCACTTGCTCATGCACTATTATACTACATTGTCACATATATAACACATCAGGCCGGTTTTATTGAATGCATTATATAACATGATACACTCACAAAACACTAAAATGCATAAAACATAATCCTGTTGACATACTGCAAGCTTTTCAATATAGCCAAACTATAGCTTTTGACCCTTTGAAAGCTTTCTTGGGATATCATTGATTGACAATCACTGCTCTTATTTGTCACACACAACACTGGCTTACCTTGGCTCCACATTTCTATTGCTTCTATTATCCTTCTCCCACAAATATGGTTTATTGTTATTTGCCCTTCCTGATGCTGCACCTCTGGCCATCCTCATTCACTGATATGCTTTTTCCTCATGTTCTTATATATACAGGAATTGAAATAGAATTAATGCATCAGCCATCTTATTTGCTCATTTAGGTCACATATACACCTACATGAGCACATCCTGCTATGTGAATCACACTATCCCATATTATACACTTGTAGCAAAGAGTCAGAAAAGTGTTTAATGCATATTCGTCCATGATCAGAACACTTCTTTTGAGATCTTGTCTGATCTTGGTTCAACAGAGATATATATGCTGTTGGATTATCAGAGAACACTTGGACCATCATCAATCCTTGTAGTGAAGTGTAATAATCTTCCAAAAACAAACTTTTTCACTCAAGCTGACACCCTTGTCATTTTTTTTGTGTGGATAGCATGGGAGATAGGGTATCCTAAAAGGTGTGGGCACATAAAGTGTGACTAACACAACAAATGTAAATCTGGTCTTTAATCAACCATCAGACCATTGAATGATATGCAACATTCAGAATATCATATCTTCTCTGGTATTTTTGAAAGATTACCATATGCTATCATGTGTTTAAGGCAACATAAAAGTGTTTATTAACCTGTTCAGTGTGTAATGAGACTTCCACAACTATTACAGAGTGTTCTAAATTTCTATAGCTTGCTGATAACAAACTTAACTCTGTAAAAGCTTATAAGCAAGCTAAGGCAGGCAAACACCCATTAAGGGCTCTAAAACAACACCAGGAGCAAGGATAAGCAACTTGCTTACAGTGCAGTAAAGTGATGCAAGATTGGATGGATGGATGTACAGAACAAACAAGACCAGCCTCATGAGCTATTGATGTGGGTTGAGTGTGGTGTGGTCTAATAGTGGATAGGTGGCCGGAGTATTTTGTAGATCATGATTAGATAGGCTGGATATGGTGGTAGTGTGTCAGGATAGTGCAAGTCTGACCAGAGTAATGTATGGAATGAAAACCGGCCTGATGTGTTATATATGTGGCAATGTAGTATAATAGTGCATGAGCAAGTGGAGTATCCCATAGACCCAGACCAGACTGTCCAGATATGCCACAGATGTGCTTGTAGGGTGGCACGCTTGCACAAAACTGGATGGACTGATAAAAAATGGGCCTGATATGCTACAAATCTGCATGTAGTACAATATAATAGTGTAGAGTCTGCTTCTAGAATAGCTGGAAGTTTATCCATGAATTAGTAGACTGTTTTATGCCATTGCTGAAATAACCGGCCTCATGAAACAACTAAACTGTTGTTGCTGGTATATCTGGACCATTGCTGCCAAGATAACCACCCTGCTTTTACTGGCATAACTAGTGTAATGCTTCCATAAAAGCTGCAGCACTTCCATTGATTTGACCGGCCTATTGCTACTGAAATAACCAGAGTATTGTGACTGTAATGACCAGATCATTGCAGCTAAGACAAACGGAGCATTACAGCTGCAATAACTACTGTGGCTTAAATAACTGGGGCATTATAGCTAGGATAGCCAGAAGATTATAGTTGCAATGGCTGGAGCATTGTAGC